TTTTTTTTGTTTTGTTTTCAAGATGTAAAACACATGTGTAAGAAAGCATGGCACCATACAGTAATCTACAAAAGCTTACATTGTTTTCATTGTGCCCCTCTTTCATATTCATTCTGCACAGGGTAAGATAAACACAAGCTTTTTCCTCTCTGCCACTCCTTTTGGGTGTGAGAAACATCATCATCTGTTACCAGTGATTACACTATTTCTTTCTTGGATGATTTGCATGTTATCATTGGACATAACAAACATTTAAAATGAATATTTCATTTTATCTTTAAAATATAAGACTAAATAAATATACAATTAAAATGAAATAAAGCATGCATTTGGAAAATGGACCATGGAAATGATTCCCCAGATTTCTTGTGCTAGTATGGCCATGCTGGGCCTGTGGGAAGCACTAAGCTGAATGGCCCCCCACTGAAGGATAAATTCCTAACTCAGCTGCAAGAGTTCACAGAACATAAACACCAGGGCAGAGATGCAGAGGTTATTTTCAAGGAAAGAAGATAGTTACACAATCATCACGTTCTCTTCAAACTAATTTTTGTTTACTCTAGTGAGCATGGAATCAAATGGAAATGTTTCACTCTTCCAATCAAAATTGTGAGCACACTTGTTTAGAAAAATAAATGAACCAAGAATGCAAACCAGAAGCTAAAAGGCACAGCGTCACATACTGCTGATTGTCTACTAGCTCAGAATTGCATTTAATTTAAAAAGATACTAAGCTGAACATGTGCTTAGGTTTGAGCATTTGAGAAAGATTGAACAGACTTTTCACCCAGTGAGCATGCCCAGCTGTAGTGGGTATGTATTTCATTGGTCAAGATGATTTTAATTTAGGTTAATCGTATTTTTAATGTATGTTGCCCACATTTGTAGTCCTCTGAAACAGTTAGTGAGTGGCATCATGGTTATCTCCTGTAATGAGAGCAAACTTACTTAATGAAGATCTTGGCTTTTAGCTATTATAATTTTTAAACAAATCACAATATTTTCTTAATATCCAGCTTATTCAACTAAAGTTCTATTACCTATTCAGAGACCCAGGCATTAATTTTAAGAGTTGGCAATGAAGTGAATAGTGTATAGAGAGTAAATTAATCATTATTTTTTTCTGGGATAATAAAAACAGACACACATCGAGGCAGATACAACCAGCTATGGCTTTTCCTAGATTCAGCAACTCTTAAATTGATGATTTTTAAATAGGAATATAATACAGATTTTCAGTGATACATGAGTGCTTTAGAATGTTGTGAAAGTAATGGGATCAACTGCTTTTCCACTTGATTAGCACTTTTTCCACTTTTTAAGGTTATGGGCTTGTTATATTATTCTCGTTGACTAGAATTCAAAAACTTAGTTATTCATACCTTATCTTTTTGCTTATTTAGGCAGATACTCTGCCTCTAATGCCCAGGCCTAAACCATTCTCTTATTGTCATAAAATTAAGTTTCTACTAATCATTGCAAAATACAAACAATCCAACTTAAAATTTATTGTCCGGAGAGGTTCTCTGTACATCAAAATATTTTTGCAAGACAAATTCTAAAAATTTTATTGTAGATTAAATGATACTGTTGTTCTTTTGATACAACTTTTGCCTATGAAACACAAACACCAGACTCAGAGCCCAGGTGGAGTTTATTGATAGAGGGAAGAGAAGGGGGGGGGGAAGCTGGTGGCCAGCCAAAAGCAGAAGAGAGAGGGCAAGAGAGCAAGGGAGAGAGAGATGGGGCAAAAGAGGGAGGAGAGCAAGAGAGAGGGCAAGAGAGAGGAGGGGCACCCTTGTCAAGCTTGCTTTGAAAGGGAAAAGTTTGCACATGTGTAACTGAGTCCCCTGCACAGCCAGGTAATGACTGTGAACAGCCAGGTGAGTCTTGAGGTAGAGATAACATGGCCATGAGCGTCTTGCCCAATGTCAGGGGGCAGGGTCAGCAGACTGCTGGGTTCAGGGTCAGCAGACTGCTGGGTTCCAACAGACACAATTTCCTTTTTGGCTCCCTATTTTGTCTAATTTTTGCATCTACATTTATAGGTTGAGTCTGAAGTCTACGAAATAACTCAAATGCAGCCATTTGGGAGATATATGCACACACACACACACACACACACACACACACACACACACACACACACACACACCTGCATTTAGTAGGCACTATAGAACTGTGTTCATAAAGTACCTAATATATTTATTCTGGAGACAGTTGGTCTGCATTACCAAGTGATCCAGATCTCTATCCACAACAGATTTATAGATTCCTCAGAAAATGCAGAAAGGGAGAAAGCTCACATATGGCCTAAAGTACATTATACCACAAGAGATATTTTGAGAAGTAACTTTAGAAAGTAAATTGTAATTTAACATAATAAAAATTGCTTGAAGTCTTAGCATTTGGGAAGCTGAAACAGGAAGATTAAAAATTCATGGTCAGCCTGGAAACTCTTCCTAAAATTAAAATAAAAAAATAGTAGTAACAACAAACCAATGAAGGTTTACAGACAAAGAATGTCTTAATAGAGCTACAACACTCAGTCACAGTGTACTTCCCACAGCCTCGAACCCATTTTCCTTCCTCTTTGAAAGGGTGTGATCTATGTGAGACCTCTGACCTACGTTCTTTTTTTCCTTCCTTCCTCCTATCCTTTTTGCCTTCTTTCCTTCTTCTGAACTTACTTTTTTCTTATTTCTTCCTCATTTCTTCTTGCCTTTTCAATGTGCCAACCAAACTCTATAGTAGTCTATGAGAATCCAGTGGTTACAGGCAAGATCTACCCTTCCCCTGGAGTACCTATTCTGGTGGGGAGAACAGTTAAAAGAAGCAAATGAAGAATGTTCACATAGGATGGTCAGATGGTGGAAAATTCTATAAATAAGACAAATGGGAAAGCAGCTGGGGGATGGCAGCACTACCAAAGCAGGTTGAAGAGTCTATTGACCACAGCCACAGATCACAGAATAGTAAAAGGTTTCTGCACCCAATAAGCAATCCAAATTAAACCAAATCAAACAGAATTAGAAAAAACCCAAGTTTAATAGGTTTAATGGGTAAAATGCCCCTGGATGGTTTTTCGGCCCCCCAGAGAAGAGATAGGAAGAGAGACTGGAAAAACTATGTGTCTATTTCTGGGGGACAGTTTAAATACTCTGTGGGAATGATCTTGAGCATCTCTGTGGGAAGAGTCCTGTTTGGCAGGCTTTCTGAGATGAGGGAAGGTTTGGAGGGGGGGATATTGAGGCGGAGCTTCCACCAGAACAGATAGCACTTAGTGAAAGAGAAGATATGGGAAGTCAGATTCAGAAGTTCCTATCAAAATACTTTTCTGTAAAAGGAAACAGAAAAATAGGATGGCGATTTGATGAAAATATTGGTATAAAGTGATTTCCTACCTCTTCTCTCCCCACCCCATCTCTTATTTTCTTCTCCACTCCTTTCTTATTTCTTCCTTTAGTTGTGGTAGGAGATAGTAAAGAAGCTGATTTTTTATAGAGATAGATGATCAAGAAGAAAGCATGAGGAATGTTGCATATGTGATTCCAGAAGCAAATCTGTTTAAGGAAACAGGCAGTGTAAGATTAAAGCACCGCAGGGGGTGTGGGCTTCCAGGAAGTGGAACCAGTTCTGTTCTGTCAACTCAGGAAGTCAAATGTTTTGTGAGGCTTAGGCTTTTGTCCATCCAGGTGACAAAACAGGAACTGCTATCTGGATACCTCTTTCTCTGCACAAGACAACATAACTGCAATGAGTTTTGATAAAGAGAAGCAGGTGAAGGCTGTGGTATTCAGAAAATTTTGTGGGTCCCTGAAGGGGGAGAGGCATCAAGTTACTGATGAGTGACATTGCTCGTGTGTAAAGCATTCCATTTTGGACCTAGGTTAGGAATTTAGTGTCCCAATATCAGACATAGAAGTGGACTACCCCACAGTGGAGCTTCCCTCCCAGACCTGGATTAGGCACAAACCACACCCAAGCACCGGCTTTCACAGAGAGATCCTTTATTAAGTAGGGAAGAAAAGTTACAGTGGCTGCTTTCTGACTCTGGCAGACATAAAAGAGCAGCAATTGACCTTGCAGGTGTAATTTTAGGAAGAGTAAAAGGAGAGGTCTGTGTTAGAATGGACTAGGATGCTGTGATAAAGGACATAGGGGATGAGGGAGAAGGGGAAGGGAACAAGGGTAAGGCTTATTTGTCTCAAAGGGACAAAGGACTACCTCTGGATAGAGGCAGACAGACTTAGGGAAATGGTGGTTTAAAAAGGAAAATGGGAAACCCCATGTTAGGATGAGGTGTTTAATTTTAATTGGGTATGTTAAATAGGTGAGCCAAAGGGGGCTTTTGATTTTTGGACTTGGTAGTCAGCTTCAGGAGTAGAAACCCTCCAGATGGGGGGGGGGAAGGGGGGGAATAGGGCTTTTAGGGCTTGGTGACTAGCTTTAGGAACTTTTTTTGTAATCTAATGCTTTTTTTTTTAAGGCAGGGGGAATGGCAGGGAGACCTGCCAGAGCTGTGCTAATGCCTGCTCAGCTGCTGTTTAAATCTCAGCAAGCATTTTCCGAGATTGTTAAGGCATACAAATAGCTGAGGAGTGATGTACTTTATTTCTTAGTCCTCAACAGCAGAAACACACAGGACAATGTAAATAAATGGTCTAACACCACACTAAGGTATATGTGGGAACCACCAACATTGATCCAGGGTTAATAATTCATCTATTGTGCTGGTTCAATGAGAAACTGATCTCAAAAAATAAATAAATAAATAAATAAACTTTCAGTTAAATTAGCTGAGATACTATGAAGTTTGGACAAATTGAGTGTTCAGAAAATGTTCCATAGTCTCATTGCCCACAGCCTTGTTGGATTCTAAGAGAGCTAGCCCATGGTAGGCAGGAGCAGTCTGGGTGGCCTGTGTTACATGTTGGGACGTCATATGCATCACGGCTCTGAATCTTCTCCCATCCTAACAAATGTCTGATTCCTTTTAGTATACATCTGCCCTGACCTATGATGCTGTCCAAGTGATGACTGAAGCATTCCGCAACCTTCGAAAGCAGAGGATTGAAATTTCCCGGAGAGGCAATGCAGGCGATTGTTTGGCCAACCCAGCAGTTCCTTGGGGACAAGGTGTAGAAATAGAAAGGGCCCTCAAACAGGTCAGTCTCACAGAATGAGTGCTATTGTGACTTCACACAGTCATTAAGGTGTTTTTTGGTTACTTTCAAAACATGTAAGTCACCTTTTGTTTTATTCCTTATGTTGAACTCACAGGCCATCTTGTTTCCTCAGAATACAGGTAGGTTGGAGAATAAGCAGTTGAAAACTTCTGTTTAGGTCAGTGTGAGCGATCTCACCAGTTTACATCTTTGATTTAATAAATTTATAACTTTGCTTTACTTCCATTCCATCATTAGGTTCAAGTTGAAGGTCTCTCTGGAAATATAAAGTTTGACCAGAATGGAAAAAGAATAAACTACACAATTAACATCATGGAGCTCAAAACAAATGGGCCCCGGAAGGTAAAACTTTAAGCATTTATTCTGGGGTCTCCCCTTTGAGGAGGCAGATTCCATCATGAGCCTTCACTCCTGGGGTCAGAGAGCATGTGCATGTAGACAGTGATGAGCGCTCCTAGAAACAAATTCAGTTTGGAGATTTGTTTTATGAATGAAATAAGTTCAGTTTTGGTAAGTGACAGTGATAATTAATCTAAAATAGTACTTTATTGTAGAAGTGTTACACTTTTTCAAAGTAGATAAAAAGACATTAATTGAAAGCTAGAAAACAAGTGCTAAAGATGTAACACATTCAGAAGAAATAAGCAATGGTGTAAGTGCGTGTTTAACTGTTTAATTCAAAATCTTGCCTTAAAAAGTCTGGCTAAATTATCAATGTTATGTATATATTTACATGGTAAATTATTACCCCATGACCCAAGTTATCAAGCAGATGAGAAAACTGTACTGCCACATGCCTTTAATCTCTAAACTACAGAAGCTGAGGCAGGGGGATTGTGAGTTGAATGCAAGTACAGCTATAAAGTGAGTTCTAGACAAACTGGGGATACATAGCAAGTTGTTTAGTCAATTAAACAAAAATAAACAATAAAATAGGAAGATTCGACTCATTTATAAGAATGATTTTTTTTTTTACAATATCAATTCCAATCATACATATGTTTATGTAGGTAAAGTTGTTGCTGGTATTTAGAGGTCTATTTAATGTGGGTGTTACTTTAGGTGCCCACATGGGTTTTTAAATTGTCAAATGTTTTGCGTGAAGACAGGCCGCTTTTCATCATGTTTATCAACTATGACCTTTTCCAGATTGGGTACTGGAGTGAAGTGGATAAAATGGTTGTCACCCTAACCGAGCTCCCTTCTGGAAATGACACATCCGGGCTTGAAAATAAAACTGTGGTTGTCACCACAATATTGGTAATTGACTGCATGTTCCTGTATTGGACTCTAATTTTTCTTATTCAAAGTATCTACCTGGAGACTTGCTGTTTAGATGTTAGGGTAGTTGATTACACAAAGCAGCTTTTCCAATGTCCAATTCATTGCATACCTGCAACTGTGTCACCACTGATGTAAGGGTTACATGTTGGCTAAGCTGAAGCACTTAGAATGTCCTCATCCTCCAGGAGGCCGAAGTCTAGCTTGACAGCTGAAACCCTGCTGCTGACACAAGTGAACAGCAAAGGTTTTTTGCTCCTCATATTTCCTTTCAAATCTCACCCAGCTCTGCTTCATCTCCACAGTCTCATTTGGTATTGTGATCTAATAATCCTGTTAACTCCTCTTTGTTCATAATGAAAAGCAAGTGTGTCTCCTTTATAACCTTCATTTGAACACAGTGGTGGCCAAGTGCCCAGTTCCAAATGCATGATTATTCAAAGAGTCAGCCAAAGCTTGCCTGGAAAAAGACCATCTAGGATTTGTGCTGAAAGAAATGTGGATCACGAGGACACAATGCTGAGCAAGGGAAGGGGAGAAGGTAGAATTCACTAACAGGTGTGGTATTGAGATAAAAGGATTGTGCACTGCTTTAGTGAGCAGCAAGGTTATAAATTGGTGGATTCATTATCCTAACAACATTATAGGAATACATAGATACACTATAAGAGATTTCAATAAAATGCTGTTGGAATCTGGAATTCTGTTGATGAATGTGAGTTGGATATATGGGAATTCTCATCATGCTATTGGGATGGACCACTAACCCATTTAGATTTATGTTCACTCCAAAGTGGACAACATTGTTGTTGCTGAATCATTTTGTCATGTTTCCCCACTAATGTGTCTCTAGGGAGAAAGCCACTACAGTTGTACTTGTAGCATCATTCTTGTTTATTATATCTCATAGATGAAGTAAGACACAAAACTTTCAAGAATAGAATCAGTATGTTGCCATGACAATGGCCATTTTCAGTTTATAGATCATTGTGCATGCAGTTTTTTTTTTCTGCATGAAGTTTGTACTTGGAGTAGCAATAATACAGAACTTACCTGAACTCAGGTTTTGGGAGTAGATGTTCACTTAATCTTGAAGAAGGGTAAGAAAGACCCAAAGTTGAATATAGTAGTTGTTTAGCAAAATTTCCCTCTTTTATGCTTAAGGATTACAATTAAAATGAGTGGAAAGCTAACAGCTTTTGGGTATCTTACTCTAATATAATCAGATATAAAGCATTTTAATGACCAATCATGTAATGATTTAATGAGCTTGGTTGAAAAAGCACTATACCTGTACATATTTCTGTCAATGTCTACCATGTTATCTATATCTAACATACTCCTATGTGTAACAAGATGTTATTAAGATAGGAGTTTAACATAGTGACAGTATGTCAATAATTCAGTATAATAATCAGTGAACGTACTGTCTTTCCTTATAGGAATCACCATATGTTATGATGAAGAAAAATCATGAAATGCTTGAAGGGAATGAGCGTTATGAGGGCTACTGTGTTGACTTAGCTGCAGAAATTGCAAAACATTGTGGGTTCAAGTACAAGTTGACTATTGTTGGGGATGGCAAGTATGGGGCCAGGGATGCAGACACCAAAATTTGGAATGGTATGGTTGGAGAACTTGTATATGGGGTAAGTATATATTGTTTTGTAATTCAGTGTGAATCATTATTGAGAGAATGGCCATTGTATTTTTTTAATATTCATATCCCAGTGTTGGCATTCCATGATGCTATAGAAAAAATGTTTTAATTCTGTGATAAAATTTGAAAGGTTGAGCCAGAATCAAGAAGTAAGCTTGAAAATTAACAGAAGCATGAATTGCATCTGTATTTAAGCACACATGTTATCCCAAAGCTTCAAGGCTATATTCCAGAAAATGTGTAATGATGTTAGCCAAGTCAGATAGGTCAACTATTTGTCTTTAATACTAGATGGATAAACACATTGCCCTCTTGCTTATTCTGTAGCACCAGAACCATAATTACTACTACTATCTAATTTCTATCCCTTTCCATTCCAAGTATTAGCCATGTGTCTTTTCTAACCATAATTCTGGGTCCTGTTATTTTCCTCTGTTTCCTTTACAGAAAGCTGACATTGCAATTGCTCCACTAACTATCACCCTTGTGAGAGAAGAGGTGATTGACTTCTCCAAGCCCTTCATGAGCCTTGGAATCTCTATCATGATCAAGAAGCCTCAGAAGTCCAAACCAGGAGTGTTTTCCTTTCTTGATCCTTTAGCCTATGAGATCTGGATGTGCATTGTGTTTGCCTACATTGGGGTCAGTGTAGTTTTATTCCTGGTCAGCAGATTTAGCCCCTACGAGTGGCACACTGAGGAATTTGAAGATGGAAGAGAAACACAAAGTAGTGAATCAACTAATGAATTTGGGATTTTTAATAGTCTCTGGTTTTCCTTGGGTGCCTTTATGCAGCAAGGATGCGATATTTCGCCAAGGTTGGTCACTCACCTGCTTCAACTTTGTGCATTTTAGGTCTCAAGTAGACATTCATGGTGTTTATGGATTCACTATAAAGATGTCACCAGCTGCCGACCACTTGTCCCAGCAATTTAAAGTGCTTAGAGGGCAATTTTTTTCCCATCGGCGTAAGCCTGTAAAATACTTGAACAATGTTCCTTGAATGTTGATCATGTGTTTTCCCTGGTGAAATTATATACACCATGGAGAGGCTATAAAATGCATAAGGTTCCTATCATTCCATGCCTGCTTGGAGGGGTACCGTGTTTTTGCTGCATATTCTCATTTTACAGTCATCTGTGCATTGATCCACAGACCTGTATATGGGAAAATGGGCGATGTTAACTATTTCCTAGAGTCAACAACTTGTTAAACAACACTTCATTTGAACATACTTCATCTCTTTATTTTCCTAACATCAATTCATAAAAATGGTGTGAGAAAGAGATTATTAAACTTTTTAAATGTTAGGCTTCCGCATAAAAAGGTTGATTGCATACTCTATGTTATCTAGAAATGCAAACAGAAAAACCAATGACTTTCTGCAAATGCTGATTCCATATTGAATGACACATAGTCACACACCTCTATTCACACCAGGAAATGATTTTCTCAGGCTAAAGTTCCTAATTATCATATATCTTTCACAAATCAACAATTGCTTTTGACTATATTACAACATACATGGTAACTACTTGTGTCTCTTCAGACATATAAATCCTGCTTCTTCTAGTGTGGTATCATTAACATTTAAAGTCTGAATGTTTTCTTGTATAGTTCAATTTGAACTGGAATAGCCTCCTTTGATTTCAAGAATAATCTTTACTAGTAAAGGGAGTGACATTTTATGATAATCCATTAAAATTTTAGTTTTTGAGTAATTGGTGAATTGCAAGCAATTAATTTCAAAATGAATATAAGCATCTCAAAAATGCATAGCTTTCTAAGTGTTCTAGTATCTTCTACTGGCTGAGAAGATGGAAATGTATCCTCTAGGCAAAAATTATTAAACATTTAATCTTTGGTAGTTAGTAATTATAATTGTAGTGCATTATAAAAGTCCCATTAAAAAGAAAAAAAATGAACTGTGTAGATTTTTAAAAAAGAAAACTCTTATGAATTAAACATATTCTAAATATATTTTCATGACATGACAAAGGAGTACATGGCCCTAGGTACATACACAATTAAACTATGACAACATGTAGATGGGTCAAACTCTCATTTCTATATTTAGTAATTTGGTTTAAGTTAACAACATGAAGGGCAGTTCCTAAGAATAGGGAAGAAAAATTAACCAAACTGAGGAGTCAGAGGATATTCTGGTCCATGAAACACTAGCTTACTGGCTTAGCTTTGATAAAGACCACTGAATTGTGGTACACTAGGTCCAAGTGAAAGGCAGTTGTGCAGAAGTGCGTGTGTGTGGGGGGGTTATAATGAAGTAAATACTGTCCTGTGTTCCCAGAGATGGAGCAGGTTTGGGAGCCTTCCCACCTCCCACTCACAGCATGGCACCGGAGTTGCTTTGTTATCTAGTGTTTGCTAAGCACCAGAAAATCTTTTGCCTTTGTGGCAGGAGTTGAAGACATGTTTATTCTAGAACATCCCATAGTATACTGTGGCATTCAGACAATTTCTCTTTTTTATTATGCTTGCTTCCAAAATAGGATGTTTTATTGTGTACTTTGATTTCATTCTTGAGTCTCACCACAGTTCACAATAACATTTATTTCTTAGTAAGAAACAAGGTTTTTTTAGTTGGGGTATTTCCCTTGTTTTTGATTTTTTTTTTAAATTTCAGAATATATAGATACAACATAATTAAAATGTACTTGTCTTTGTGCTTATGTTCCACATGCACTAAAAACTGAACCTGAAACATAGCTCTAGTCAAGTTAGTGATTGCTTTAAGAAAAGAGTGAACTAGAGTACTATGCTTTAGATTGCAGAGTTGGCTACTGCATAGCAGAACACTAGAGTGTGTACTCTCTTTACAAGAAGCTTAAAATGAACAGACCACTTAGAAACTCCTTTGAAATATTTTGGAAATGCAACTATCAACCTTTTCCAAGTAAAATCTGCTTTGGAACTCCATTAAGAACATTAAAAGGACACATTTGAATTACAGTCTAGGATGATTTACTTAATTCAGTGATATTAACCTGCCTGGAATTGCAAACAAAAACAAAACAAAACAAACAAACAAAAACAAAAAAAAAAAAAAAAGAGAGAGAAGAAAAAGAAGAAAGAAAATTAGTATGGCTCTCTTGACCATAAGATATATTTTGAAACACAGAAATTAGAAAAGCAATATGCCATAATGATTATTATCTTCAGATGTTTCGTTATAACCACAATATCTCCACATATAAGTCACATGTAAATGAAACATCATTATTTGATGCATATTAAGAACAAATCATAATGCCTCTGCATTCACATTCTTCAGAATATGTGAAAGAAAGTTAAACCTTTGTTTTGATTATGGCAACTTTTATTATAAACTAAAATCAAGTTTTCCCTTCTTAATAAAATTTCCCCAGAATGCTCAGAAAAATTAATTGTTGCTTATCAGGTAGTTACAGATGAGTAATAAAGTATAAAATTATTTTTCTGTGTTTTACAGTTAATATGATTAAAGCAATACTGAAATATTTAATGTCAATAATATTTTCAAGCACTGGAATAAAAGAAAAGTAATATTTTTTTAAATATTCGGACTAAAATAGCATAACAAATAAGCACAATTCTTAATTGGGTAAGAGACTGGTCCAGTGTCAAGTGCATTTAACAAAAATCAACCTTAGTGGATCTGAGCAGCCAGATTTGAGTCTGCCCTCTCAGTTTAAGGTGTGTGTCCTATAATTATCTTGCTGCATGGCCAGATAGGATACATTGGAGGATAGTTGTGTCCATATCAGGGGTTTCCAATAGCAATATTTATAAAATACTACATTTAGATTCCATGTGAGAAATATTTAAACCCTCCCTTCTTATCATGTTAATTTAAATCTTTACAAGTCATAGTGACTTTGGCATGGAGGCAAAATTAGATTCCTTCAGTTTTTTGTTTTAAGCAAAAACAGGCTAAACCTTAAAGTTTCTGGAATCAGCTAGTTGTTTTGTATTGAACAACTGATTTATTCTACCAAAATCACCCAAAATTTTATCTGTGTCTATTGTATCAAAGGCTGCATTACTTAATGCTAATTTTCAATACATTTGATTCTGCCCGTAAATTGCCCAATTTTTATGTTTAACATTTTAGAAATGCTCCTACCTCAAATTTCTCAATTGTATGCAGAATCTCACAAACTGTTTCAAAATAACACAACAGATGTCTATTGGTATCTACGTTACTGCATATATCTCCTTCAATATTTAAAGTAAAATACTGGAAACCTATTAAGCTTTTAAAAATATCGTATGTATTTATAGTCAGACAAATGCTGCTATCTTCTTATACTTCACTTTAGTAATTTATATTTTTTAAAATTTTAAACCACTAATTCATTTTCTTTGAGTTTTCTTTCTCTCTTAAGCAGGAAACACAAAGGAACAGGGTCAGAGCAGTCCACACCATGAAGGCTTCTGATTTATATTCATTAAGAATTATGTTTTACTTTTTGTATCATTTCATTTTCCATTTCTCTATTGTACTGTATCAAATACCTATGTTTGTACACCTTAAACATAGTGAAACTGAGTTTGATTGTGGGCGGGGGTGGGCTGCATTAAAGGGCGAGTTTCTTTTTTATTTAAAGCTATATTTATGGTACACAGTTTCTTAGTATTTGTTTTGTTATGAACTTTGCTGCTGTTCTTAGGTTGTCTTGTTTGTACTTATGTCATGAGGAGAAAAAGTATTATGCATATTAGGTTAACTACTTGTACATTTCTTGAAGTTGTTTTCTTCTAGAATTTTACATTGTCAACTACTTAGGTCTATAATTTTGAGAGAATCCCCAAAATAGAGTATAGATCTTTGGATATATCCTCAGATCTCAATCTCATTACTCTGTAATCCTTGCCAAAAAATATTAGTAATTTCTAGTTTCAAAAACTAGAAAGACATATTGCAAGGTATAAGATTAACTATTCTGTAAGTGGCTAGTTGCATATGAATGTTAACTTGTTTTATATTAGATCATTCATTTTACTTTATGAATCCATTTCATACTTGTTATCAGATCCCTCTCTGGGCGCATTGTTGGAGGTGTGTGGTGGTTCTTTACCCTGATCATAATCTCCTCCTACACGGCTAACTTAGCTGCCTTCCTGACCGTAGAGAGGATGGTGTCTCCCATTGAAAGTGCCGAGGATCTGTCTAAGCAAACAGAAATTGCTTATGGAACATTAGACTCTGGCTCCACTAAAGAGTTTTTCAGGGTAAGTGATTCCGGATTTTTAGTGTCTGTATTGTTTGTTTGTTTGTTTTTCTAAATTTAACTCCTATAAACTCCCCCACTTCCTCTCATGGTTAATACGAGGGTGCTTTGTTATAAGAACCAGCTGTCTCTGTTTCTGCTCTTGGTCTGTCTCTATCTCAGGCCTTCATGCTATCCAATGCTTCCACATTTGTTTTAATTCTCAGGTCCTCAGAAGAAATAATGCTGCTCTGCAATCTTAATTTTACAAAAATCAATATATCTTCCTTGAGAACAAAATTGATGCAAAATAGAGTTTAGGTTGTTACTGTTTTCTAAGGAAAAGGTGCTGCAATTTCTTTCGTGTTATATAAATATGGCTACATCTATCATGCATAATTTATCATGAAGAGAATCATGCTTGGACCTGTTATGCTATCTTAAAATTAAGAGGCAGGTTGGATTTTCAGCTGTAAATTCTGAATTTTTGTGAAAATCTTTCATGAAAAAGCATTCAACTTTATAACATTTACAAAAAGTAACACAAGTACAGTGTGTCTATTAGATGGGTAAACTTTTTCTTTTAACCCATCATAGGACAAGGTTTGATGTTAGAGATATCATGTTTCTGTCATGCTATAAAGGTTTCATGTTTTTACTACATTTGTAAAAGAACTCATTCAATTAAAATATTTTTGCACATTCAATGTTTTTACATAATCCAACAAACACGACATAATATAGTTTGCACATCTAACAGTGTATGAGTGAGATGATAGCCAATTTGCTCCAAGATTAGGGTAAGGACCTTCAACATGCCAAACATCAAAGCAGTAGATTGTGATTTCTATACTCTCATCCTGCAATGACTGAGATCTTTGTTCCTAATATCTTCAGTTGGGCCCATGTTATGACAAGAAAAATGTGTTTGGGAGCAGAACTATAGCTACTGCAAACAATAAACTGGTTATGTGGAAGAGGAAAGCAGTTACTTTATTAGCACTTCAATAATAATGCAAAATAAGTTCTAGCCAAAACTTCTGCTTTGCTACAGATCTAAATATAAAAGTTGTGACACAGATTGCTATTTGCTACAATTTAACATCATCTACCAACATATTTATGAACACAGATCCTTTTGATATAGCAGTTCTCTGGTTTAACACTAATTTTGATAGACTAAATCAGAAGACCGCATGCTTACTAGTTAAAAATATAGGCTTAAGAGTTGTAGTCATTCTTTCTCGGTTTAGCTTGTTTTACTTATTTGGAACACTTAGGTAATTGAGAACTGTTTTGGGAAAGGATTAAGAATGTTGTTATAGGACTCTGGTTACTTCTCAAGATTATAGATTTATAAAATGAGGGCTCCTGTGCACTTGATCTCTTTTTCATGTGCACATTTTCATCATGTTTTGACACAGCTGAGGAAGTCCTCACTATAGATGGATTGTTACTCATTTTTGTATTTTTAACCTCCAAAACCCTGGCCTAATAAGTCTTTAAAAAGAAAATTCCTATTGCCAATATACTTTGTTATAGTAACATCTATCTTCTGAATACATGTGGGCAATAGGTTGTGTTTGATTTCCATGCATTATTAAACCAATGGCCAGATAATTTGGGGCAACTTGATGTATTCAGGGAGTGAAAAGGCGGTTCTTTACTGTTTTGCTTATACACCCAGGCCTATGGCTTTGTTTGTGAGTATTTATGTTCTATTCTGAATAACATCCACATTTAATTATATGAAGTTACTGCATCTGTTCTGGTTGAAATGTGAGCAAGTCCTCAGAGTCTTTCATGGCAGCTCTGGAAGGAACTTGCAACAGACTTGTCTGGATCTTAGTGCAAGTGCATATAGCATTGCAATTAGCTTTTCCTAGCTAGAGAAAGAAACTGTGTGGTTAACTATTTATAGGCTACTACATATTGTGTTCCTGATAATAAAGGGAATTTTAGATCAATATACCACCAAATAAAAGGGCACTAATGCTTTCACTGAAGTATATGACATGTTTCTGATTTGAAAATTATTGTTCTAAAAGACTCATCTCTCCCAGTTAGATTAAATCAAGGTCTGCTAGCCAATGATTATTTGTTGACACACTTGCCACTTTTATTAATATTTGACAATGGAGTCGTATGATGTAATACTGGAATGATTTCCTTCTGGGTCTACTCCCATGGCTTTTCCAGGATACTGTAACTTGTTAGCTGGAATATGGTATCTCATTCCTTTTCACATACTTCAGTGTAAGGGAATCCAATCATGGATCCCTTGTAAGCAAGGGACTCCAATCTACAGAGAGTCTTATAAGAATATATTGAGCAAAACATAATTAATTTAGACATCTTAAATACAAAATATTTGTTTTGTCAACAATTTACCATGAGTTCTCAATCTATTAACTGCATGTAGTTGAAATTTTACATTACTGGGAAAGAAAGAGGAAGCAAAGGGAATATTTGCTTCTCATCCTGAGATTACTCTTCACCACACATCATATCTATGCTGTTCTTCAACCATCTTTTAGCTCTAGGGATTTTGAATTTTCATTTGAGGTTTATTCTGGGCAGCCTGAAAGCTAGCCAGATTGATTATCATGGTGGCCAGCCTACCAGGAAAAGGAAATAGCAGAAGTGGATTGAGTTTGTGCTCATGTCTTTCATTCTCTGGCCACCTGATTTCTTTTACTACATGATCACAGACCTGGTGAATGGTTTTAACATACATTTCTTACTATGACATAATTCCATTGAGTTGCTAGCTTTTCCTTTTTCTGTTATTTTAACTTGAAATTTTATTTATTCTGCTAGAGAATCTATGAGTAACTAAGATAAGTAGTCTGTTTTAATGATAGCAAGCTTTGAATTCAGTTTTGGGGAAAACAATTTGCGAAGTAAGAGCACTGTTCAAATTAAATAACAGCTAAAAGATAAGTGAGTCTTAAGAACCTTTAAAAGATGAATGCCCATTTCTAAAATCCAATTTGGATTTCTTAAAAATTAATATGTTTTTAATTATCAGTTTAATAAAATAATTTAATATAAAAGTAACATATTGAATTTCTATTTTATAGTGATATCTTTATTACTGTGGTGATATCTGACGTTTCAATAAAGGCCTAGAGTACTTTCAGAGTTCACATAACTTAATATTAAATTAGGTTATGCTAATATTATTTTATTGAAGTTGGTGAGTCCATAATAGATTTAGAAGTATGACTTACACTCTAAATTTACTAATTTAACATGTATGTTTTTCCTAAATGTTGATAAATAAATTAAAATCAATATTTAGTTTCTTTTGCAAGAAAGTGAAAGTAGAATACAGTCTTGTAAAATCTGAGATGTGTGGGGCTAGAAGTGGCCTCCATATAGCTACACCTTTCTATCTATGATGTTGCTATGACCTGCTGTGGAGTTGCTAACCATACTTAATTAGATTGCCACTGTGGAGTACCTATAATTAGGAGGGAATTAGGGTTTCAAATATAAACTACTATTTTTAGAGTTTCAATTTTGATAATTTCCCCTCATTAAAGTAGGGCAGATCTCAGTTCTATAATTTTGTTTAGGAAATGATTTTTTATAGAACCTGTGTTCGGTATGTTCCCACAGCAAGTTAGAATTTAGAGCGGGCAATGGCTTTCTCTGTGAGTCTGGTACAAGTCTATCATTCCACAAAGACAATGATTGACTTTCAGAAGGGGAGTGGGAGTTTCTTCTGTATGCCCCGAGTCCTTCTCACTATAATCAGTCCCTTTCCTCCAGTTGTCACCTTTGGGAGAGAAGGTAAGGTACACTGTATATTTTCTGCCCAAATGGTATGTGTTAGTTCTGTTAGCACCATAAAGAAAAAAAATGCCTAATCACTGTCAAAGTAAAGGTCCTTCCTCTTTTATGTAAGAATTCTAATTACTCCATTTGCAAATAGCAGAATTATTCTGACCTTAATGCATTAAACTACAGTGCTGTTACTGAACACCATATAAATATACAGTGATAGACATGTAGTACTGATGCAATTGTTTTTAACTAGAATGAGTTTTAAATTTTCCTGCTTTTCTCTCTCTCTCTCTCTCTCTCTCTCTCTCTCTCTCTCTCTCTCTGTGTGTGTGTGTGTGTGATGTGTGCATGCATGAACATGTAAGCACAAATGAGTCTGTGCCTGTGAATGTGTTCATTTCACAATTCAGTGATCATGGTTACCAGAGAGTTAAAATAACTGAGATTATCCTTAAGGCCAAAATGTTTTGTTACTGTGTGTATGACATTGAATACACTTGTTTATATTTGCATAAAATTATTGTCTGGGCTTGGGAAATGTATGCCTTTAATCTCAGCTGTTTGGAAAAAGGAAAAAGAAGGGCCACGTATTTGAGGTATAGCTAGACTACAGAATGAATTCAAAACCACCCCGGGAAACTTAGGGATAACAGGATTCAAAATAAAAGTGCACAATAAGAGTCACCCCTGAAGTAGAAGCAGAGCTCTTGTCTAGCACAGACTCCTGGTTAACAGCCCTGATCCAACAGAGCATGCAAATATGATCACAAATGAAAGTGTTCTAGTCATTACAGGTTCGTTTCCTTACAGAATAGTAAGTATTTTTCGGTAACATTACAATTATTACATTTGCTGCTTGCATGTAGCATAGACCCCTTATAATTTCTAGATTCTTATGACATACAGAATAGAGATTTCACTAGTTTGTAAACTCTCTTTTTTTTCCTATTTTTTTTTTGATACTGCCAGTGATTTCTGTGCTAGAGTTATGAAGCCCATCAGTGTCTTTAAAGGGAGAAATAAGTGCCTGTTGATTTTAGCATACCAGCCATACATATATACCGCTTTCAAATGTTTTGAAAAATTGAGTGTAACCATATATATTTCTATATACGAAGGATGCTGCTCATAGAAAAAGAGATCCTTTATAGTCCTTCACACATGTTTAAATATGTAAATAGCTTCTAAAACTGTAGGCATTAAATACATGCTGAATGTGAATACATAGCA